GGGTTGGGGCGCGCGCGTGGGCGCGGCCCGGAGCAGCCCAGTGATTTGTGTGAGCAGCAGCAGCAGCAGGTGCAGCAACAGCCACAGGAGCAGCAGCAGCAGCAGCAGCAGCAGCAGCAGCAGCAGGCAGAGCCGCAGGATGAGTTGCCGGGTCAAGTTCTGCTGCGGCAGCTGCGTCGCGACCAGGCGCCAGCTCAACAGCAGCAGCAGCAACCGCAGCCGCTCCAGACCGTTGCCGGCTGGCAGCAGCAGCAGCAACAGCAGCCTCAGGCGGACAGCGGCTGGCGGCAAGACGCGCCCAGCGCTGCCTGGCAGCAGCAGGGGAGCTCTGGTTGGGACCAGCAGCAGCGGTCACAGCAGCAGAGCAGCTGGCAGCCGGGCGGTGGCAGCAGCTGGGCGGCCCCGGCCCAGCAGCAGCAGCACGGCGGCGCCACCTGGCAGCAACAGCAGCACTACCAGGCACCGAGTGCTGGGGGATGGCAGGTGCAGCAGCAGCAGCAGCAGCAGCAGCAGCAGCAGCAGCAGCAGCAGCCTGCTCAACCCTATCAAGCACCGCAGGCCCAGGTGTACAGCGCCGCTCAGCAGTGGGCCTCCGGGGCGCAGCAGTACGGTGGCGCTGCCTACCAGCAGCAGCAGCAGTACACCGCCCAACAGCAGTATGGCGGCCAGCAGTACGCCTACTACAGCTCACAGCAGTACGGCAACGGACAGCAGTACAGCAGCGGGCAGCAGTACGGCGGCGAGCAGTACTACCATCAGCCCTCCCTGCAGCAGCAGCAGCAGCAGCAGCCGCCCCACCAATCGCAGGCTGCAGGGTGGGGCGGCCAGCCCCCCATGGCAAGCGCCATTGCTTATGGAGGAGTCGCTGGCAATGCTGGCACCGCAGCCGCTGCGCCTGCACCGCCGCCGCAGCCCTCGCGGCTGCTCGCGCATCTCAGCGGCGGCGGCGGCGGCGCCCCAGCGTGGGACGGCGCGGGGAACGCGCGAGGCGGCAACCGGCGGCCGTACGCGCCCGAGCGCCAGGACGGCTCGGGCGCCGCGCCGGCGGGCGTGGCGTGGCCGCCGTGGCAGCAGCAGCAGCAGCAGCAGCACTCGCTGGTCCAGAGGCGCCAGCACGGCCGGCTGCCGCGAGGCGAGACGGGTTCGCCCAGCGGCGGCGCTCACAGGCCCGTCTTGGCCCTTAGGCGGGACGAAATGCTTCTGAGGCACCCCTCCGGCGGCGACGGCGAGCGCGCGCTGCTGCCGGCTGCGCCGCGGTCGGTATCGCCGCCGCTCGCGGGCGCGCGTTCGAGGGCCGTCGGCGGCGGGACGGCGCACCTGGGCAACCGCCTCGCCTAAGGGGCCGGCGGACGCACGCGTCGTCTTGGCGCACCAGGCAGCAGCGAGGCCCACCACCTGGGCGGCACGGACTGGGCAGGCCGGGCCTGTCTTTGGAGAGGTTTCTGCAGTCCAAGGTGGCGTTGTAATCGCGTTTTTGCAAGGGCTACAGCTTTCCAGGAGATGGAAGAAGCCTCCAACAGGGTTGTTTCCTGACAGGCGCTGGCGCGAGGGGCGGGGCCCTGCAGCGTTTCCAGAGCTGTATTGATGGGGCGCGCAGCACTATCCAAGCGCCGGGCTGCCGTGCTATACAACAACACCGTCTTACACCTCAGCCGCGCAGCTCTTGGGCCTGCCAGATGCTGCTGCGACCAAGCTAGCATGCACGCCTGCTTAGAAGCCCAGCGCCAACGCTTGCCATTAGTGCAATGCACTGGGGCAGGTGGCTGTTGTCAAGAAAATATGGGCCATTTGATACATCGCCGCACCACAACCTGCAACCAGGCTCCATCCAAAACCCATCAGCGAGGACACCGTCCTGCCCCTGCAGGCCAGCCGGAAGGGGGACTCCTGCTGCTTCTTCAATCCTCATCAGCGGTACAGCCCCAGTGGCCACAGCGGCGCAGGCTCAGGCCTCCCGTTTATGACAGCAGCCAGTCCATCAGAACCACACAGGCTTGGGGTCGAGGAAACCGTTGGTGCACACAGAGCTATGCTAGACAGAGGTACAACCAATCAAGGTGGTGGGGTGTGCCTTGTTGAAGGGGAGGTGGCTGAGGTGGGTGCACGTGGTTTCAGCGCAGCGACAAACCAAACGAAGGATGGGATGAGGAAGCAGCAAGACCGAACCAAGCCAGGCACACAAAGCGTTCGTTGACGGACGGAATGGGGCAGAAAACTGCCGATGCAGGTACAGCTGTCAAAAACAGGCAGCACCCGGCGGCCGGCAAACACGTGTGCAGTGCGTCGTGGCACTTCACGCAGCAGTGTGCGTGACAGGTGGAAATGTACACGTCGTGCATGGAGGACGACTGGCGCACGCTGCTCCTATCCATAGGCCGCCGATGAGCGTTCTAATGTCCGCTGTGCTTGTGCTCCCAAGTCATGCCCTGCCACCCTCAAGTCCCACCGGCTCTCCGGGCTGCCGCTGCTGCAGCCTGCGCGACCTGTTTCTGCATTCGCTCCAGCCGGGACGCCGCGTAATCAGCGGCGCTGCCCTTCTCCCACCGCTTGACGCCGCCCCTGCCCACCACCCAGACCTGCGCGCCGCTGCCCGCTCCCGCGGCCCCGCCAACGGCGCCGCCGCCGCCCGCAGGGCTTCCGCTGAGCACCTCGTCGACGAACCGGATGTCGTGGCTGGCGAGGATGACGGCGCCGGGGTAGGACTGAAGGGCGCGTGCCAGGCCCTCTGCGGACGGTCGGGGTTGGGGACGGAGAGTGTGCGTTCCAAGATCAGAGTGGGTTGTCGAGAGAGAGCCGATAAAAGCGTATCAAGCGACGACTGATCGGCATGGTGGTTGCGCACTTTGGCTTTACAGTGGGCTTTGCTGCAACCCCCGCAACAAATAGCTCTGGACTGTGTCAAAGCTGTGGCTGTTCCAGGCTGTTTCAGCTCACCAGCGGCGTCGAGGTCGAGGTGATTTGTGGGTTCGTCCAGCAGCAGCACGTGCGGACGGCGCAGCAGCACGAAGCACAGCGCCGCGCGCGCCTTCTGGCCGCCGCTGAGGGTCGCGAGCTGCTGCGTCGCGAGGCGGCCGCCCAAGCCGAAGCTGCCCAGGAAGTCGCGGGCCTCCTGGTCTCGCAGGGACGGCGCGATGGCTGCGATGTTGTTTTGTGGAGGGGCGCAAGGTGGACGTCGGTGGAGGGAAGGCTGGAGCGTCAGCGCAACCCCACAAGAGACGCAGGTAGTGTCAGACGAATGGATGCTGCGTAAGGAGAATCGGGACCTTTTCGTAACGCTAAAACGACATACACCCAGGGCAAGGGTTGTAATCGAGTTGCTCCCCAGCTGTTACGGACTGCGGTCTTTGGATATCCTCCAAATGTCACACTCACAAGCGATGTGCTCGAGGGCTGTGGTCTCCAGGTCCAGGTCCTCAACACAGTGCTGCCCAAACAGGCCAACCTGTTGGGCAGAGGGTGCAATGGGAGGGGGAGCCGCTCCCAAGGATGAGGACTAATCACATGAGGTGATATTGCCCCCAGTGCACACCAATAACGGGGGCTGCGACACGAAGCATGTACAGCTGAGCAGCGCAAAAGACAGCACCCTCTACTCAAGCGCCTTGCACTGGGGCAGAAAGTCAATGCAATGACCCCCGCACCTCGAGATTGGCGTGCCGCTCCACGCTACCTGCCGCGCTGGCCGCGGCCGCCGCCGCCGCCTGCGCCGTCGGCAGCGCCGCGGCCGTCACTGCGAGGCCCCTCATTGCAGGCCGCCTTGCAGCCGCCGCCACCTTGGCACCACCACCGGCCGCGGCGCCGCCGCCGTCGCCGCCGTCCTCCTCGTCTCCGGGCGGCGTCGGCTTGGCAGTGCCCGCGATCAGCCGCAGGAGCGTGCTCTTGCCTGCGCCGTTCGGCCCCAGCAGCGCCAGGCGCGCCCCCATGGCGATGTCGAGCGTGACGCCCCGCAGCACGGCGCTGGCGGCGCCGGGGTAGCGGAAGGAGACGGCGCGCAGCTGCAGCAGCGGGCCGGTGTAGCGGATTGCCTCGGGCTCGGCTGGGATGGGAGGGATGAGGGGGGGGGGTTGCCGGCGGTGGAGGTGAGCTGGCCGTGCACTGGCAGTAGCGGAGACACAGAATGCTGGCAACATCTCGCGAGGATGGCGAGCTGGCGTGTGGGCCGGCGTCGGCAAAGGGCAGGGGTAAAAGCAGAGATGACCCGCGCCTGGGGCCGTGCAGCGGCTGGCGGCTGAACTTGAAGACAGCGAGGGGAAGCACGCACGGTGCTCGTCGGGGCCGGGAGCGAGGGGCTGAGCGGCACGCGGCCGGCGCAAAGTCAAGTTATGCGGTACTGCCCCAGCCCGCCCCAGCAGGACACAGAATGCGAGTGCAATTTGATTGCGGGGGGCGCGTGGCGCTCACGCAGGTTGAATTGCACCGGCTTGTCCAGCTGCTCCAGCACGATGGGGGGCCGCTTCAACGTGCCAAAGTAGCCGTGCTTGGACAGCTGTGGCGGGCGCCAGCGGCGCGGCAGGGAGTGGAGGCACTTTCAGTCATTGCACCAAATACACATGTGAGGTGTTCGACGCTGTATTTGTTTGATTCAACTAGATGCTTGTCCTGGTGGGGGAGGCGTAAAGTCAACGCAGGGAGAGGTGCCAGCTGGCATGCAGCCAAGGGCAGCCCAGCAATACACAAAATGCTCTCGCGGCTGTCGGTGAACAAGGCACCTCGACGGCAACGCAACATGAGGGGCCCCGCCGCCCTTGCCCAGTGTGAAAGGCAGGCGACGCATGGACCCACATATGCAACCCCACATCCACGGCCCATACTTTCCGCACCCAAAATGTGCGGGTTCCCGAACCCCCAGCCCCCAGCTCCAGCCCCCAGCTCCCACCTGGTAGCGCCGCCCGTTTTCGGTCTTGTCGGACCCCCACCGCTCCTCCAGCTTCTTGCGGCGGCTGGTGGAGAGCAGAACAGAGGCAGGGGGAGGCTCAACAATCATGAAGGAGCGCCGTGCAGTAATAAGCGAGAACCGTGCGGATGACCGCTGATTCGAACAAAACCCCCCTTGGCAGCAAGGCAGGCCTCGTGCCACAATACAGCAAGCCTGGGCCAGATACTGTCAGCAAACGGCCTGCTGGCTGAGCATGCACGTTGGGGTAGCACCATTGTATTGTTTGTATGATTGATCGAGCTCGAGAGCGCGCCCGCCACCTTGAACCCACCCCCCCCCACCCACGCTCCCAACCCAACCAACAACCACCCACCTGGCCGCCTGCTTCAGCTGCTTGTCGTCGCCGGCCTGGCGCGCCTGGCGGTTCTGGGCCTGCGCGGAGCACGGGGTTTGAAAAGAGCTCAGATCAAACCAAAGAGCTGGCCAGGCATGAGGTTCGTCGCTTCGATGATGCACCCACCCTTGCGCGTGACACCCTCCCACCCAAGGCCCTGCATCAGCCCCAGGCCGGCTTCTGCTTGTGTGCATGTGCACGTGTGTGCGTGTGTGCGTGTGCGTGCGTGCGTGTGTGAGTGAATTTACAGGACCGTAGCAGGCCCATGAGAATCCACAGTAAACCCAATCACACCCACGCGCATGGACCAGGCCCGGCACAACCTCTCCCCCCACGCCCGGCACAACCCGGCCCCCAGCCGCTGTTGCGTGCGCAATGCAGTGCCCCCCATCGCTGTGCCCACAACCTTTCTCGCACGCCCTGAACAGCTGCTGCAAGATCATTCCTGCAAACACCGCACAGCCCCGACCCCCCTAAACTGCCCTGAATTCCCGTGCCCCACAGGCAGGTACGCGCACCACTATGGAGTTCTCGACATGCTTGCGCTGCTTGGCCATGGCCCCGATCTGCTTGAGCTTGGCCTGGTGGGCGGTGGTGCGCGCGTCAACAAATGCGGAGTAGTTGCCGCTCCAGTACCTGCAGGGGGTGCACGGCGGCGGGGCGGGGTTGTTGAGGGGTTGGGTTCGGTACAAAGAGCTGGAAGGGTGCGTATGAGTTGAAATGTCGCAGCTAGAATTAGCAAGACAAGGCAGTGGGATTGCCGAGGGCAGTATCTGCACCAGCAAGCAACGGCAGGCCAGCGGCAAGGCGGCATGCGCGCGCTCTCAGACGAACCCCGAGTCACTGCCGCTCCGGCATGCTGCGGACGCCCCAGGAGCAGTGCAGCTTGCCAACATCCCCCACGCACGCACCCGACTCCTTGATGAAATTATATGGCAACGCCGAATGTTGCTAGGTGTTTGAGCGGGTCTGATCCCTCACCTGAGCGCCTTGTCCTTGAACAGCACCGTCTCCTGGGCCACAGTGTCCAGGAAGGCCCGGTCGTGGGACACCACCAGCAATGTCTGGCCCTCGCACGCGCCGCCGGTCAGGTAGGAGCCCAGCCACAGGGTCGCCTGCGCCGGCAGGGGTGGAGGGGAGAGGGAAAGCGCGAGGGGTGCCGTTGTGCACGCGCGTGGCAAGGGGCTCGCAAGCCGAGGCGCACGTGCCGAGCGCGCAGGAACCAGCCTTCCTGCACCGTCGGCCACGTGAGCAAAAGCACGACCTGGAAACAACCTCTATCACGTGCAAATGAATTTGACGCTCCCTCACCACCCTTCCTAACCGAACTTTCGCCAGACACCTGCGCCAACGACCACAATTCCAACCCACCTCCAGATCCAGGTGGTTGGTGGGCTCATCCAGCAGCAGAAGATCCGGCCCCGCGAACAGCGCCGCCGCAAGCGCCAGCCGCATGCGCCACCCGCCGCTGAGGCTGGCCGTCGGCGCCGCCTGCCTGGCCGCGTCAAACCCCAGACCCGCCAGGATCTGCGCTGCGCGCGCGCGTGCCGCGTCGGGGTCCGCCTCGGCCTGCCTCTCGTAGAGATCGTTCAGCAGATCGTGTGCTGCCTCCTCAGCTTCCTCTAGCGTCGGCGTCGCCGCGCCGCCCTCTGCGTCCTCGTCATCGCCGCTGCCGCCGTCGGACGCGGACGCCGACGCGCGCCCCGCCGCGCGCGCCGCGGCGGCGTCGGCGCCGGCCTTGGCGGCCCGCGCTTTCGCCTGCTGGTCGATCGCCGCCCTGCGCGCGAGAAGGCCGCGGAACCCGCTGCGCTTCGCGGCGATGGCGTCAGCGTCTGCCGAGGCCTGGGCTTCCCGGCCGGCGGCGGCGGCGGCCACGGCGGCGGCGATGACGAGAGCATCGCCGCTGTCAACGGCAGCCTCCAGCTCAGCTATCTGCCTAATTAGGAGCGAGGGAGATTTGAGGATTGCTCTTGAGTTGCCTTAATTGAATGCGTTTGCAGCAGCTTGTGAGGAGCGCGGTCGACAGTCCCAGAGAATCCCGTCAATCAGCGCTGTAGCACGCAGCTGCAGAGAGCGCCCGAACGCCCATCCGTGTGCCATTGGCTAGGGCGCCCTCTCACTTGTCCAGCGCGGCGCCCTGGGGGTCGACTGACAGCACCGCCTCCAGCACTGTGGCCTCGTCGCTGGCCGCTGCCTCCTGAGCGACTGCGCGCGGCGGGCGGGGCGGGGCGGTGGGGCGCACTTTGGGGTGTGTGGCGCGGAGCGCTCGGGCGCTGTTTAGAACCCCTGCACGGGCTTCTGCATTTGAGACTCTGCGCAAATGTTTGTTCATATCTGGATCGGCGCCGCATTCAGCCGCCTTCCCAGGAGGCTGCGCTCCACCCAGGAGGGCGCAGGCCGACCAGCCCGCGGCAGATTGGGCGCCCCAGACGGCAGCGAGGACAGCGCGCGCCGCCGGCGGGAGCGAGCTGCGCCCCTCACCATAGCAGACCCGCAGGTGGGGCGGGAAGCCTATGAGCGTCCGCTCCCCCATGACCTTGAGCAGAGTGCTCTTGCCTACGCCGTTGCTGCGGGGTGACGAGGCGGAGGACGCGTAAGCACTGCATCCACACAACCAGACGCTTTGGCAAACCCGGCAGCCGCTGCACGCGCTACCTTCCCCACCCTCGGCCCTCTTGTCGTGGCTGTCTCTCTTCAACCTCGCTGCACGGACGGCAGCAGCACGGCGTTCACTTCCCACAGCGGCCGCCCTCTCTCAGCCCCTGCCTCTTCCACCACGCCCGTCCCAAGCTCTAGCCCCAGGCCGCCGCTCGCGCTCTCACCGCCCTATGAGGCCGTATCTGACCCCGGCCTTGAGCTGCAGGTGCGCGTCCTCCAGCAGGGCCTTGCCGTCTACGCTGAGCTGGACACCAGGCAGGTCCAGGCCGCGCGCCGTCAGCACCTCCAGGGTCTCCAAATGGAACCGCGACACCTGGGTGGTGGCCTCGATGATGCCGGAGGCCGCCGCAGGGCCGGCGAGCGTGGCGGCGGGGGCGCCGCCTGCGGGGCCGCAGGGATGGGTGGGGTAAGCGAGGGCCCCGCCTGCGCGGAACCTGCGCGGAACCTGCGAGCGCCCAGCTGGGCGGGGCGCACCGCCGCGAGCAAGCACTGCAGCATGCGCCACTGCCCAGACGGCTCAAGGCTCATGCTGTGCAGGGGCATCAGATGGAGGCTGCATGCTGCCTGGCGGCATGCGCATTTGGTCGTCGCGCCACTGCTGCCGGCGTTGCCCAGCCGCTCTCACCAGATGAGGATGCCATGAGCAGCGCGCACGCGTGCTGCGTCTCCTTATGCGAAGTGCGAGTGATGTCTGGCGACCTGAGGCAATCGACAAGCTGTCAAAGCACTTCAGTGCAGCTGTCGGGGATTGGCGGAGGCACTCGTTCGGTCCTTGTTCAATAGCTCCAATTTTTGTTAGTGTTTGATGTGCGTTTGACACCAAATAAATGTGGTGATAGGATTATTGGGAAGCCACACCTGAACACCAGGATCTGACCAGCTGGCCTCAAACTCATAATGGCGGGCACAGTAGCATCCACACACAACCCACAGATACAACGTGCTTTGCGACAAGGCCTGCTGCACTCGCCATGCACCATTGCGTGCCCGCGGCTTGTGCAGTGCCACGCTGCAGCTCGGCGGCGCCCGCAGCGACTGCATGCGACAAATCACCAGCCAGAGCCACCTACGCAGCAGCAAGAGAGTGCCGATCAACGGTACCGGCAGCAGCACCAGCAGTCGCCCGGTGAGCACCTGAGACATGCGAGCAGGGGGGTGCTCACACAGGCAGCAGTCGACAGCTCTATGCGCAGACGTCCACACATGCAGCTGCCAAGTCCTCCTGCCTCGGTTGAGCCCCTTCTCCCGTGCCCCGCCCTTTGCAGCCAGCGGCGGCGCCCCCGAGCAGCTGCCGCGGCTGCTGGCCTCGGCGCGGCAGCGCTGGGATGCGATGGACACGCAGCGGAGGGCAAGCGCTGCACTCCTCGGTGCTGTTGCGCTCTTCGCCCTTCCCAAGGCGAGTTTGCCGGCCCGCGCCGCACCCCTGAATGCCAGCGTGCGCCTGGTGACCAAAATTAACCTGCAATGGCAGGCATAACAAGCCGGCGTTGCAGGTGGATGCAGCTTCACTAGCCGAGAAAAAACCGCCACAATGGTTCCTTTCGCGCCACACAATGGCCCATTCGTCGTTGCACGCAGTTGCTGACGCTGGTGTTCCTTGGCGGCGAGCGCGTGCTGATCGGCTCACTGCTGGCGCTGGAGGAGGTGCTGCTGGGGCTGTTCTACCGCGGCGGCATCGTGATCGGCGCGCTGGCGGCGGCGGGCGCGGTGCTGTACGCTCTGTACGCGTTTGCAGTGCCCAGGGGTGGCGGCGGCGGTGGCGGCGGCGGCGGCAGCGGCGGGATGAGATGAGCTGCAATGACGCTGACAAGGAGGGTGTAATGCACCGAGCATGCATTGATCATAACAAAACAGTAATTCTATCATTGAGCTGCTGCGTGGCAGCATGCCATTTGCTTCCCCGAGCCTCGCAATCAAATGTTATGATAAGGTCGTCATTGGCCCTGTACGACTTGGCTTCTTGTGAGCCATGATGCACAGGAGGGACTACGCGCCCGCTCTTGAAAACTTTTTACAGTCTACCAATATGCACCCCCCATCCGCCAGCAGTGGTGCCCCATATTGCCATCTGCAAATGAATCAGGTGTCTTCTTGTTGCTGCCGCCTGTGTGTGCGCTGCCCCAATCTGCATCCTTGCACTATTTCACAGCCTGCAGATTCTGTTGTCTTGATGACCCCACTCAAGTAAAGTGATTGCCAGAGTTACAAACGTCGGTTATCATAGCCCACTGAGAGTTGCCCACTTGATGTTGGCTCATATGACTGCGGCTGCAAAGAAAGCCTCTATGCAGCACTCAACAAACAGTTCGCGGGAAACAACCTGTGGCGGGTGCAGCAGGCATTGTGCGCTGCTTGTGAGGAAGGCTGTCAGGTTCGGTTTGTCCGAGCGCGGCAATTGTCATACGAAATAATGCTGGTACAGCTGTTGAGCCAGCAGCATACGCAGCAAATGCAGTGATATCACCCCTAGGTATGCTTGGCAGCAATGCACTGACGTCCACGCACCACTGTGGGTTGTCCATCGTGGTCTGTGGTGATACCCAGTGGAAGCAGGTGTTGACAAGAAGATGAGATCAGCGCCCACTTGGACAGCCTGCAAACATCACAGCCGTAATTGTGCTTCACAAGGAGGGCCTCGCGGGCAAGCTGTCACTTAAACAACCAAACGCTTCACCCTTTAAAGTGGCTCAAGTTCTGACCGGCCGCAGTTAGGGGCTCCCACCACAGAGAGTCTTCCCTGCTAACCGGGCCATACTGGCCTCACCCCCACCCAGCCACGTGACTCGTGGCAGTGTGAGTAGGGCACGCCGCTGGGAAGCGACGGGAGGGGGCACATGAGCTCACCCAGAGGTCAACCCCCCCGTGAGCCTTGGCCAATGAGCC